ACAGTATTATATTTTCCATCCATTCCTTATGACCAAATCATCTTGACATACTCTTCTCAATCTTAAGATTTATGATACTGTACTGAATTTTGCTCTCTACATTTTTTGTACCATTTTCATTTCCTACTTTATCTTCCTAAAGCTGTTAATACATTTCAGATTATGTTTCTAAACCAGGGCTGTCATTGTGGCAGCCATTTTTATTCCCTGATTTATTTACTCTCAACTTGTGCACAAATTTCCCTTCTTGTCATTTACAATTCCCAGGGATTTCAGTTGATCAACAATTTCTTTGAGTCCTCAGTTTCCTCCTCCTTCATTTGGTGTTGATTTCTCGTTACGCTGTGATTAGTTTACTTTTTGTCGCTGATCACTTTTAACAGTCTCTTCTCGCACGCATCAACATGGCTTTCAACTAATGTTGTTATATCTCTTATCATTGTTTGCTAAAATTTGTTCATTGTTTGCTAAAATTTAACATATCAAATTTTATGTATTCTACTTGACAGTATCTGTTATATGCAAATTTCACTACCTTTTCCAGTATTATTACCCTGAGAGGTACTATTTAATTGTGGTGTAGTTTATCCTGGTACAGTATGACTTACAGTAAATATGTGATGACAGCCAGAAAGAAGAGCAAGTCAAGCACACAGTAACACAACAGTGGACATATTCTCCGAACAGGTTAGACATTTCCACCATACAGTATTTATGAGAGGGCAGCTGTAGCCAGAAATGAAGCAATGTGGGCCTAGAGTGGGGGTGGGGGGGGGGGTCAGGAATCACAGTGTTGACTTGAGTGGTGTCAGCAGAGGCTGTTGCTTGGATGCACTGAATGCACTGCTGGAGAAGGTGAGGAGACAATATAAGTGGAGACAAGAATACTTCTCCTGGCACTTGTCCAAGGGAAAGTGATTTAAAAGTATGGGTTGCTTTGATACATATCAGGTGTGAGAGTGCTGGTGATGTCCAGACTGTGTGTGTGTGTTAGTGTGTTAGTCCCCAGAAGGTCCAATGCAAGCAACTTGCTTAAGTGTAGCTGCAAGCAGGTTGTTACAATATAGTAACAGCCTTCCCTCACATGAAGAATCAGAGTCTAGGAAGCATGTAGGCAAGTGAACCATATGGCCAGAATTTATTGTAAATCCCTCCTGACTAAAGTTGTCATCGTTCTCATCGAAGTCCATGGCATTGGCTGGTGGGGCGGGACTGGTGCATCCAAGCGGTAGTGATGGTAGTGTTTCGTGGGATGTTTTCATGCTCTTCGTATTGTTGGATGGTAGCTTTGCGTGGAATAGTTAGAGGATAGTAATGAATGATAAGTTAATACTTCCTTCACAAAGAAGGGAGAAAAGCAGGTGCAAAAAATTATAAATCAATGGCTCTACCCCTCATCATAAAAAGCTTTGTAAGAGTACTAAGAAATAAGATTACAAATCACATGGAATCACAACATCTGCATAACCGTAGACAATGCAGTTTCAGAACAGGGTGCTCCTGCCTCTCACAGTTGCTAGATTACTGTGACATGGCCTTAGGTGCCATGGAAGACGAGCAAAACACAGATGTAATATACACAAACTTTGCAAAAGCTTTCAAGAAATGTGACCATGGTGTTGTTGCGCACAAAATGTGTAAAAGGAATTACTGGCAAAATAGGAAGATGGATCTTCAACTTCCTACCGAACAGAACAGTGTAATAGTCAACACGGTAAAATCCGGATCATCTACCGTGAAAAGCTCGGTCCCCCGAGGTACCTGTACTGTACTTGCTCTGGTACTTTTTCTTAAACTAATACTGTATCATGCATAGACAAGGATACAAACTACAGCACTGTATCATTTGCAGATGACGCTAGGATTTTCATGCGAGCAGACAATATAGAGGACACATGTCTGAAAGGTATCATTGCTGCAGGTTGGTAGTAGATGCTGCATATGCTAACGGAGCTGGGTCACTGTTCAGTTACCATGTTTCACCAGAAAACAGGTGGTATTTGCCATTTCATGACTACTTCCACAATAGAGGAGGGCAGCTTTGAGATAATCATACTTTCTACTGATTGGTGGGTTCCAGAGAGTTGTGGCAATTTCCTAAAAAGGATGCCATGAAGTGGGCCTGTCTTGATTGCACTCACGGCGAAGATAAGTGAGGGAGTATGTGTGATGAGATAAGGGCTTGGGAGTACGTGGGCAGTTTTCTCTGAAGTGACATGATGCACAGTATCTGTACCAGTGTTTTGTCACACCTGTTATGTGTTCATGGTTGGTGTAGCATCATTCTACAGTAACTAAAGTAGTGTGTGACAACCAGACAAGAGTAGATAAGAAGCTTAAAAAGACTAGGGGTAATCATGTTAAAGACATTTCTTAATAAACATGATAAAGAAACTCTCAACTGCTAGACAAATAAAAGCTGGTTAACATGACCCTTTCGTACAATTGATGCTAAAGCAGTGATGGTACGTTTTTAGACACTAGTACTGTATTCTCTTGAGAACACGTGGACAACTTTTTCTGTCCAAATAATCCAATAAAACCCCTAAATTACTGGAACCCGCTAAAAAAAAAAAATCATTGTGCTCCCTAGAGTGCAGGTAAGAGATGCATCATAATGCACAACTGAAACATATTTGAGGAATTAGTTCCAAATCTGCACACTGAAATACAGGTAGTTCCTTTCAAGATAGAATGTACAAAAATAGTCCCACTGAATCAATAAATATCCAAGTTTTTACAAAACCTTCCTTTGAAACAAAAGGAACATAACTAGCTGGGGATTTGGTAAACGCCTTCAAAGGGTACCTAATAAAAACCAGGCTGTGACTCCTATGTTAGATTGAATGCAGCAATGTCAGCCTTGTCAACCTGATCGTCAGTCATGAAACCTGGTCAAAGACTAGGTTGCAAGTAATTTTCCTCTAAATCACCTCATGGCAGGTCAGGTCCCGAATTTGCTCAATAAAGTGTCAAACTTACTTTATTGAGATATATAGCAAGAAGTGTATAATAAATCCAATGCATAGCAAAGGGGCCATAAACACAATTAGAGAATATCGGAGATCTGTGATAATTTATCCTCCATAACAAATGCAAGAATATTGCCAGAACAAGAGTTGATGTCTAATAGAGGGAGCTTGACAAGGTTCTGTGGCCAACCCGTCCTCTTAAAAATGTCGCTTTTCACACTTATGCGCGCTATGGCTAAAAATGGACGTAATTTGAAATGAAATTGGCTCAGGAAAGTGATGTACAGTACTGTCCCCGTTTTCTATTTGGGTCGTCTGGCTTACTCGGAAATGTTAGGAGAGGAAACTTTCAATTAAAGATTTTCATGACGTTTTGAAACTAGGAGACTTTCCTGCCCTTTCCTGGAGAAAAAAAAATATCATAAGTGAAACCAACAACCACTCAATATAGACTATAGTACCTGTACTGTATATAGAAAGTATGTTGAGGAATTGTTAGCTGAGCCAACTCAGGATGAACTTAATGTTTGAATGCAAACGAGATTGTCATTATCACAAAGCATTTCAACGTGACAATCGGATATGAGGTAACCTGCATGCAAAAATGATCTTGGCATTTTTCCCTAAAGTTTATTGGCTTTTGATTGAAGAGGTGAAGCTAGAACTTAAGAAATGAAGCACAGAATGTGAAATAAGGCAGAAAAATATATACTGTACTGTAAACATAGAAATAAAAAGAGAGAAGTAAAATAAAAATACAGTAAATAAAATTCATACAATTTAAGCTATGCCCTCTTTCTGGAAAATTTTACTAGCTTTGATTCAACATCTGGTATGAATATTGCAACAATTGGTACAGGTTCCAATATAAATAAAATAGAGGTACTGTAGATATATATTAAAACACAATTTAAGATCACACACGGATTGAAATGGCCACGATTCGCGGAAGACAGGACATGGAGGAAGAAGGAAGATAATTTTTAACCTACAACAGGATTTTGTTTGTGGTACCCTATTTTGTGCTAGTTAGCATACTTGTATTGTATGCAATAACATCTGGGTTTGAATAATGGGCAAGGTAGGATGGATAACTGCTTGATGAGTTCTGGGAGTTCTTAGACTCCCCAAGGCTGGCCCGAAGCCTGGCTTGACTTGAGAGGATGATCCAATAGGCTGTTGCTTGGAGTGGCCCACAGGCCCACATATCCACCACAGCCCGCATGGTCCAGCACTTCTTGAAAAGTATCTAGTTTTCTGTTGAAGATGTCTACAGTTGTTCTGGCAATA